GTCACAGTAGCGCTTCCAATGTTCTGCCCCGCGGAGCAGGACGCCATCTCTTTCCAGACGCCAGTATTGGTGTCTTCCCTCCATGAAAAGTAATGGATAGTAGAGACTTGAAGACTTCACGCTCTCTGAGCGGATCCGGGTTCTGTGAGGGGCAGAAGAAAGCCAATATCCGTCCTGGACACCCGGCTGACCCTGTCGACGGCTGAATGAAGGTGTGTTTGAGGGGGAAGTGAAGACTCTGAGGTCTTGGACAGGTCAGCGAGCGTCACAGGCTTTGTTATTTAGAGACAACGCGACTCTGTCATTCTTGTTGCTACATGATATAAACCCTCATCCTTCCCTAGGGTCATTTTGTGTGACTTTTGTCACACTTTTTTTTTAATAGATTCAAGGAGGTTTGTGTTTGAAATTTTAAAAAGTAACAAATCCTTCCCTTAGCGGGTCAATTTGACACCATTATGAATGAATGGGATCTGAGAAATGCTTCAGTACACATAGAAAAACCTACAAATGCACAAAATTCAAACTAAAAATGCTAAAACTTTACTGAAATATTATTTTGTAATGTCTACATATGTTTCTGAATGCATACTGAAGAGAAATGACTAGGACCCAGCAGAACAGCTCATTTGCTCCAAATAGAGCTACAGTATAAGGCCATCTAGTGGCAAGAGTCGAGAAATATTATGTGATATTATTTCCCTCAAGAAGTCGGCAAAGACCACTGCATTAAATTGCATTCAAAATAGAAAAAAAATATGAAATAAAAAAAAAAGTTTTCTGGACAAAAAAAAAGTGAAGTGAAGAAGAAGAAGAACAGCAGTGAAGAAGAATAGCATTAGGCTTAGAATAGTTCAGAGTGTTAAAACATGTAAATGCCTCACATTTTCTTACAGAAAATGAAACTAGTTTTTACACGGTGCAAATCCAGCGACTCTGGTGTTCACCTCTCGTTCGTAATGTAATTGTATTCAAAATAGAAAAACAAATATTATCAAAATGAAATAAAACAAGTTTTCTGGACAAAAAAGGGGTCTTATTTTGACCTCGAGGGAAAATATGTGTGAGGGAAGGAGTGATGAAGAACAGCATTAGGCCCTTTTTAGCTGGGATTCAACTAAACTAAATGCCTAAATAAACGTGTATTTAATATTAATACAAATTTTAATTTAATAAAGTGTAATTATTTTCAATTTGCTGTTACAACGCTCATATTGATATTAGCACCCAAGTTGTAACGCCTGGTTGACTTGTGCTACGCTACGTTAGCTTAGCATAGTTCAGAGTGTTAACACATGTAAATAAATGCCTCACATTTTCTTCCAGAAAATGAAACTAGTTTTTACACGGAGCAATCCAGTGACTCTGATGTTCACCTCTCGTTCGTAATGTATTCTCCATCTGTTGCTGAAAACAAGATGATAAATTTAGCTTCGGGGGCTTTTCAAACTACAAACAAATCAAAATGCCTTCAAGAAATACTGCAAGGGCTTGTCTGCCTGAATCCCGAGCATCCCTGCATCCTGATGCCTCGTGAAAATGACGAAGCTGCCAAGAAACTTGACATGACATCACATATATCACATCATCTTTGCGTGTTGTCACGTATTACCCTTCACACTACAGCGGAAGACGGCAGATGGCGCTCGTGCGCTTCACAACACGGAAGTCATCCTACGCTGAGCCGCTGGTGGAGGATTCGCAAAGGACAGTCAGGTAGCGTTCAGAATGAGCTGTGAGCGATGCTTTGATGCTAAAAGTGAGCTAGGAAGCGATGTTTTCTTATCGCAGCTGTTGAATTTGATGCTGCTTATGCAAGCAGCCTTGAATGCGCGCGGAGTGGGAGGCGAGCCCTGAGGAGACGAGTGCCGCGCGCGCTGAAGAGATGTGTGTGTGTGTTTACGTTTAGCATCTGAGAGGTTACAGATGTTCCATAAATAGTGACAAAATCCCTCAAAATGTTGAGGAAATAGCAAAAAGTTCATGGACATTGATATTTGTGTGTGGACAAGGGAGTTCAGGCGTGTTTCTTTCTTTCTTAAAGTCTGTTAGAAGAGTACTTTTTTAGAAGGCCCTATACAGCAAGATTTTTTCTAAATACAACTAAATTAAATACATGAATAGACTTACAATTTGATTGAATTGAATTTGATAACCATCACAATAACTGTTTATTTTATTTTATTAGATGGATAAGAAGAAAAATACGATGCTTTTAACTTTAAAATAAGTTGATAAAAAAAAAAAAACATGAAAAGAAATGTACAAGACACAATGTACTAGAATGTGCATTGAAGGATATCCAGTCCTGTTTTTATGTTCAGATCTTCTGAGGCGAGGAACTGGGGATTTGCATCACACCAAAGACACTTTTTTGAAAAGATGATAACAGGTGAGTCTCTTTCAATTTACTTTTGACATTGTTTGAATGCTTTGTGATATGGAGGTGTTTTTCTCTATTGTACAAGGACAAGATGCTTTGAAAATTTCAAAAAAATGTCTGCCAAACTATCTTACAATTGAAAAGTAACTTGGACACTTTTATTGAAAGTATTCAAGGACGTCTTAACAGAAATGATTCAAAATCAATTACAGGATTACTCGACTGTAACAAACTGTCTATGTTATATTTCAAATCTGAAGATGATAAGTCTAAAACTGAGTTTTATTAAATCTTTTTCAAGACCATGTCATGTGATTTTAATTTGAGAAGATGTTAAAACGCTAACTGGTGTTTTATTGTCATCTTCTAAGCATCCATTCAGTCTATTGTCTCTATTGTTTTGTGGTGCAAACGAGCCCCATTCAGTTCCAGTATTCCCTGAACACATTCACACCTCTCTGGCCTGATTATGGCTCTAATTATTATATTCTTTCTTCATTATTACTGACCACTTTCTATTCACACTGTTTTAATCCCTCATTCTTTGATCAAATTTCTCACTTCACCTTCTTTGAAACTGTATCAAATGCCCTTCTTGAAAAAAGAAACATTTCAGTGAGTTTTACGATTCAAAATTATTCATAATAAAAGTGATTTAAGTCAAGTGATTTAAATAACCTTCTGTGATCATATGTGGCTTTGGATAAAAAAAAAATCAGACAGAATATATATTATTTTATAGTATTCTGCACAATGAAAACGGTTATGTCGGTTAGCTTGTGATCTATTATTATGAAAATACCCGACATGGCTTGGAGAACACCGATAAATCATATATCGTTGCAATTGTGTGTTTATTGTCTCCAAAACGTCTTTATCTGCATGTTATAGCTATCTCTAGATGCCTTGTTTATGAAAAGGATTTGCTGGAATGTCACATAATATGGTCTCATTTGTGGACTAAATGTTCATAGAGCGTCCTTCACTTTACTGGATGAATGCATCACAGTACATGAGAGTGTTCAGTGGTACTGCACAAAGCACCACATTTTGGGTGAAAATGTAAAATACTATGTACTTATTTTAGTAACTACAATTACAGGGTAATAACTAGTACTAACCCTGAACCTAGCCCTGTTCCATGTACTTACCTTATATTAGCCAGTACTTTCTAGGTAAGTACACAGTAAGTACACATGAGAACCGATCCATATTTCTTTAAATCTTTATAATTTTGAACTAAAAGGCCTGAGGGACGTTGTTTTGTCAAGCACTTTCATGACAACCGTACAGGAGGTTTTTTTTCTTAATGGGAGCGGCTATCGGTCATGATTCTCGAGTCTAGATCTTTTTAATGATGCATAGTTTGTTGAGGTAAATTACAATCATTTACATTAAAACTTTGAACTAATATAAACAAAGAATGCCTTATTGTGATGTCGTCCTTGTGAAGCTTAAAGGGTTAGCCCAAAAATGAAAATTCTGTCCGTAATCTGACTCTGAGTTAGCTCATGTAGTGTAACAGCACATCTCTGTTGTACGTCAGAATGTAGGCTCACTATTGGCCAACGCTGGTCATGTGTGTGATGCGTGTGACAAGCACTGTTGTTACGTGAGCTCACAAGAAAACCAAAAGTTGATTAAAGTTGTTATTTTATTTGTTGTTGTTTTTTTGCGCACAAAAAGTATTCTCGTCGCTTGATAAACTTAAGGTTGAGACACTATATAGTCACAATGTTTTTACCTACTTTCTGGGCCGGCAAGTTTCAATTACAATTGAAGCCTTTGGAGGAGAGTGATCTAGCTCTCAGATTTAATCAAAAATATTCTGAAGATGAACGAAAGTCTCACGGGTTGGAACAAAATGAGAGTGAGTAATTACTGACAGAATTTTCATTTTTGGGTGAACTAACCCTTTAAGAGGTTAAGAAAACTACTCTAAATCCAGCAATTATAGAAACCCACTGACTGGTATCCCTTCCTCTATTCATTGCTAAGACACTTATATGAGTCGTGTTCAACCAAGTCTCTACCTTTCTCACACAGAACAACCTCCTGGGCAACTGCCAGTCTGGTTTCAAAAGTGGCCACTCATCTGAGGCTGCCCTGCTCTTTGTTACTGAAGCTCTGAGACTGGGAAGAGCAGCTTCCAAATCCTCAGTACTCATCCTGCTCGATCTGTCTAGTTAACCACCAAATCTTCCTGTCAATCCTCATGACGAAGGGCATCTCAGGAACAACTCTCCAAAGGTTAAGTCTTACTGTACCTCTTAAGTAGGTCCTTCGGGGTGTCGTGGAGAGGTGAGGTGTCTAAGGTGCAACGTCTAGCTACTGGGGTTCCTCAGGGCTCAGTGTTTGTTCTCTTCTCCATGTACATGTCCTCACTATCCGACGGTTCCTGCTCGCATCTCGGCCTGCCTAACAGACATTTCTTGCTGGATGAAGGACCACCACCTACAGCTAAACTATGCGAAGACAGAACTACTTGTGGATCCAACACTACATCACAACTTCTCCACTCAACTGGGTTAATTAAACATAACTCCATCCAGGACAGCCAGGAACCTTGGAGTTGTGATTAATGATCAATTGAACTTCACAGACCACATTTCTAGAACTGTCCAGTCCTGCAGATTTGCCTTGTACAACATTAGGAGGATCAGGCCCTTCCTATCGGAGCTACACAACTCCTTCTCCAAGCTCTTTGTTCTATCCAGACTGGACTATTGTAATGCTCTCTTGGCATGTCTTCCAGCATCAACTGTAAAACCTCTGCAACTGATCCAGGAAGCTGCTGGAAGAGTGGTCTTTAATGCATGTTACAAATGAAAACTTGCATTTTTGGCACTCACATCAAATTCAAGGTATTGTTTTTTGCCTACAGAACAACCACTGGCTCTGCACCCCTATACACTCACCTAAAGGATTATTAGGAACACCATACTAATACTGTGTTTGACCCCCTTTCGCCTTCAGAACTGCCTTAATACTACGTGGCATTGATTCAACAAGGTGCTGAAAGCATTCTTTAGAAATGTTGGCCCATATTGATAGGATAGCATCTTGCAGTTGATGGAGATTTGTGGGATGTACATCCAGGGCACGAAGCTCCCGTTCCACCACATCCCAAAGATGCTCTATTGGGTTGAGATCTGGTGACTGTGGGGGCCATTTTAGTACAGTGAACTCATTGTCATGTTCAAGAAACCAATTTGAAATGATTCGAGCTTTGTGACATGGTGCATTATCCTGCTGGAAGTAGCCATCAGAGGATGGGGACATGGTGGCCATAAAGGGATGGACATGGTCAGAAACAATGCTCCGGTAGACAGTGGCATTTAAACGATGCCAAATTGGCACTAAGGGGCCTAAAGTGTGCCAAGAAAACATCCCCCACACCATTACACCACCACCACCAGCCTGCACAGTGGTAACAAGGCATGATGGATCCATGTTCTCATTCTGTTTACACCAAATTCTGACTCTACCATCTGAATGTCTCAAATAGCTTGTTTTCACGTGACGTCACGCAACTGCGTTGCCATGGCGCGAAGCGCAAATGGAGGGCAGGAAATGATTTCTATATTTAGGAAGCACTTTAACACACTCAAAATGCCTATGTTTTGCGTCGTTTATGGTTGCTCAAATCGATCAAACCACGAGGAGTTTTTATCGTGTGACAAAAGTTGTTGTTCATAAGGGAGGAAAGTACAAGAAAAACAGAAAAACACCGGGAAAATGCCTTATAAACCTACGTCTGCGGTCGGGAGGAGCCGAATGGGAAAATGCCTGTGTGTGTGTGCGCAGTGATCACTTCGTCAACTGTGAGTTAATATTTATGTGGCTTATAATTACATTATTCAGGTGTTTAAATACACTTATGTGGCTGTTTGTGTAACAAAGCAGTTTCCGAACTTTGTAAAGTCAAAGTATGTCTTTAAGACGAGTTAGTTGCTGATATTTACAGCCTCGATGGCAGGCAAATCTCTCAATTCAGTTGAAAATCGGTCCTCTTCATAACGCAAGGATCACGTCCAACATATGTTTCGATTTTCTGTTTATATATTTCTCTTGTAATAGCGTCTAAAGTAGTACAGTACAGATTTTCCTCCATCTCGTCCATTGCGCTCTTCACTCCTTGCCCTCCATCTGCGTTCCGCGCGTCAATACAATCACGTGACTGCAAACCACCTATTGTAGCCTTTATTTCCTATTTGTTGTGGAGATGAGTGGTACCCGGTGAGGTCTTCTGTTGTTGTAGCCCATCCGCCTCAAGGTTGTGCGTGTTGTGGCTTCACAAATGCTTTGCTGCATACCTCGGTTGTAACGAGTGGTTATTTCAGTCAAAGTTGCTCTTCTATCAGCTTGAATCAGTCGGCCCATTCTCCTCTGACCTCTCGCATCAACAAGGCATTTTCGCCCACAGGACTGCCGCATACTGGATGATTTTCCCTTTTCACACCATTCTTTGTAAACCCTAGAAATGGTTGTGCGTGAAAATCCCAGTAACTGAGATCAGATTGTGAAATACTCAGACCGGCCCGTCTGGCACCAACAACCATGCCACGCTCAAAATTGCTTAAATCACCTTTCTTTCCCATTCTGACATTCAGTTTGGAGTTCAGGAGATTGTCTTGACCAGGACCACACCCCTAAATGCATTGTAGCAACTGCCATGTCATTGGTTTATTAGATAATTGTATTAATGAGAAATTGAACAGGTGTTCCTAATAATCCTTTAGGTGAGTGTATCTTAATTCATTATTTCAGATTTATGTGAAAGTCTGACATAGACTTTCCAGAAGGACACCCCAGAATCTTGCGTTCTGCAAGTGAACAAACAAGCACAAAATCACTTTCACAGACCTATACTTTGTCTGTTCCCAGCTGGTGGAATGACCTGCCCAACTCAGCCTGAGCAACTGAGTCTTTAGCCATTTTTCAAGAAACTCCTGAAGACACTTCTTTTTTGTCAACACTTGACATTAATACTAACACTTACTATTCTGAATCTATATATCTATAATAAAAATACCTTGCTACGTGGACACTAGACTCACTGGCACTTGCATATTGTTGCATTATTGTTTGGTTTGATTGTTTCTATAGTTCTCCTCATTTGTAAGTCGCTTTGCATAAAAGAGTTTGCTAAATGATTAAATGTAAAACTAAAAAAAATAATAATAATTTTCAAGCATATTAAATGTGTCCTTCATACAATATAACAAAAAGCGAGATTTAAAAAAAATGATTTTTTATTTTATTTTTAATAATTATGAACCCCTGGGACATAAAAATTCTATTATATATTTTTAGGCCCTTTAAAGTCCAGTTTGAAGTTGTCTGTCATGACTGAATATATTACACTTTATAATCTGCAGAATGCACCCATCCTGGGAGTGTGGGTGTTGAAGCGGAGTGCAGGCAGGTTTTATCGGTACGGATGATGAATGGCCTCACTCTGTCGTACTGACATATGCGCGGTGTGGCAGATGGGACCCGGGTCATGGGACCTGGAAGACGTGGCTGAACAGAGAGCATGTCCTTCCGCTCCCAGCCATAAACGACACGTAACATATTTGGTGTCAATGTGTGGCCTGCCGTATTAGCAAATGCCACTGTATCCTAACGCTAATGGAGCCACACACTCTCGTACGCTGGTAGTTTTTGCAATGCCTAAATCTTTTAATACATCCAAGCATTGACGAGCAGCACCCATTATCCTTTATTACATTTTCAATTTTCTCTAGTGTGTAATGTTTCTGTTTGAGCATAAAAATGTCTACTAAGCACAAAGTCACTCAAAAGGCAGTTATTCTTTTTATCAGTGCACATTGTTTGTTTCAACTCCCTGAAACACCTCCAACTTGAAACTCCAACTTGAAATTGCGAAATGAAAATACGCACAATGGAAACACGTCAATTTCGCAAAAATCCCGTTTATCGCAAAAAAGTTTTTACGCTCGGCGCTCGCATGAGGAGGTTTTTCAGGCAATTCGAAAAAGGATTTTCTTGCTAAACTGCAATGGAAACAGGTTTTGCGCATTCACAGTCACCTGACTTAGAAGATGGGAGTGTGTTTTTGGGTCTGTGTCTGCAAAGAAAATAATAATTATCATCATTAGCTGCGGGAAAAATAGCATTTCCAGGTTCTAATTTGGCCTTAGAAAACCAGTAAAATCTACATTTTTCTCCTATATTAATTTGTGAATATTTTAAACGTTTTAAAAGGGGGCAAAAAGTCATAAACAAATATCTGAAAATTCGTTGAGATTATTGCGCAGGATTGGTGTGGTCAAACTAAAATGTTGGTGTTAAAAATACAACCGTTAATTTTTCGTTTTGCAACGACCGTTTGGACTTAATACGAGACAGAGTTCTTTATTAAATTCATTTAAAAAAAAAGAAACAATAATTACAGGAATAGCCTTCTGGACTCTAAATCTCAAAGAAATGCCATCAAGACACTTCAAGGGAGAAACACAGAGGAACTCCGTGTCTTTAATGCTTGTATAACACACCGTCTCTTTCCATTAATTATAATAATGTCTAGTGCGGTGCATGGCTGTGATATAGGTTAAAAACAACAACATCCGTTGCCATGATTTTTGGAATGACTTATCGCGAGAGGGAAAAAAATACTTTTTAGTCGCATAACATCGGTTAATGTTTTTTTTATCAACATTTGGAAAATATCGCAAAAGTTTTGCGCAAATCTGTAATGCAAATGCGCCTACTGAAAGACTAGGAGTAGAGGAGCTGCAACAATGAAGAATATGTAAAAAAAAAAATGTGTTTTTGAACATTCAAGCATGAAAATCAAAAAGAAGACTTTGTAAAATGTGATAATAGGTCCTCTTTAAGATAAGCCAATAAAAACGGAGATAATTTACATTTGGAAGCCTTAAAGTTACAGTAGCAAAAATGGTCTAATTATAATAGTCAGAAAGAGGGTGAAAAATAGTTGACATGCACTAAGCTAGGTACTATTTGGTATATGAGGCCTCAACTAGTTGTCTTACGGAGAAAAAATGCAGTCATTATTTTTTGCATTTGGTGGCGCACAAATTACTTCGGTGAGTTATTTCGGCAAGGTGGTTTTTAAAATGGAAGTGCTTAAGTATATAAAAGAGTTTTCTTTCATCCATATCATTATGATGGTTTGCAATGCAATTTTAAGAAGAAAATTAAATTTGTTTAGCCTCAGAAACTGCTGAGATGGACTGCTATTGGATCTCATATAATCATTAAAGCTTGTATATTAGTTTCAAATTATATTTTCCATAATTTCAGAAGCAGGTTTATGGAGTCAATCAATTAAGAATAATAACAATAGCGCCTCTGTTGAGAGTGTTGTAGTAGCATCTCAGCTTTTGAAAGCCAATAGATCACCACACCATTGCAATATTTCCAATTTCCACTTAATACTAAATCAATATCAACACATGAGCAGCCACACTTACATATTAAGATGCATTACATAGCCAAATACATTAAATTCTAGGTTGTATGAGACAGACAAATTATGGAAAACACAAGCTTGAGTAATTTAAGCCTCTTGTCATACACCGCATTAAATCAAATGTCTTATTTTCAGGCATATTTCCATCTCTCAGAGGCTAATGACTGCAGACTATCTTCACATAGCTCTGGTTGCTCTGTTCTGTATGGAAGCGTTTCCACCATGGGGATGGGGATGGGTCTAATTAAAAAAAAGATTAACGTGACTATCTCACAATTCTGACGTCTTCCCCTCATAATTGCTCTGTTCTGACTTTATTTTTCACAATTTCAAGTTTACATCTCTCAATTCTGATTCCTTGAAGAAAAAGTGAATTTGTGAAACATTACGGTGTTTTGTTTG